ATCTCCCAGGAGAATAGAGCTGAAGACCAAGGTGCCTGGAAAGAACTATATGGAAAGGTCAGATCTGATTGACAGCAGACGAGTATCTCTAAGACAAACTATGTCCTTTGATCCCATTTCAGGAGCTGCCAAATACTGTCCCCACTAATATCCACACCAGGTTCTCCAGGTTCTCTTTGATCATGGCCAAAGGCACTATCACACAGAAAAGAACTGGATAATCACTCCTTGCTCTAATCAGATTTACCAAAACCCTGATATATATATCTCCAGACTTGGGAAGAAGCACAATTTACAATCCCTTCACACGGGTGGGGCATGCCACAGGGTTGGGACCCTTCTTGCATGCACAGGAGAAGCAATATTCCCTGGAAACCTCCGCTGACATGTCCTCTTTATAGCCTGTGGATAATCTGTGTTCATAGGATGGGGCAACTTTCTGCTCCATCCCAGAATGAAGAGGAAATTTCTTCCCTAACAATCACCACTACAACCCTTTGCAACATGGTGGCTCCTGCTGGGTGGCCACATGCCAGTGAGTCCTTCATAAAATTATGCCTCAGGTAGGAAAAAGGCCAGAACTCTGCATGGGAAATTAAATGTTCTTGAAATTCCATAGCTGTCTTGGGGATATTAATGTACAAAATTAATGAGAAGCCCTTGAGGGTTTCACACATGTGTCCAATTGCAGCCTTGGTGAGTACGAAACCCCAGCATTTGCAGCTCTGGGATGTGATTAAGGCCAAGGAAGAACTGACCATACATAATTCCTGAATTTCTGTGTTCCTGAAGGGTGTAGTGGTGGCAGGAACTCTCACCTGGATTGGCACAACATTAGAGCATGTGAGATGGGGTTGCACAATGCTCAGTATGCACCACCACATGGAGCAAGGGCTGGATTACAATTCCAGCCCAGCCGGAGCTCAGGAGACACAAGGCATAAAAGCCATCCTACATTAAGATCAAAGATGCAAGTCAGAGGCATAGGCAGGACTTCCACAGCTGCAGCTCCTGATGCTCTGCTGCATCTGAGGGAGCTTCTGTCTGCCTTCATAAGCATATAAGGCAGAATCAGGCCAGGAAATCCTGGGCTTTTCAGTCTGTCTTAAAGCAGACTGTGCCTGCTGCAGCTGTGTGTATGAAAGCCCAGGGGGTGGATATGCACAGGGGTATAAATCTGGCTCTTGTGCTCCCTAAGTTTGTAAACCCACAGAAAGCATTTCTCCCGGGCAAGGAGGAGCAATAGAGAAGGTTCTTATTTCCCTGAAATCCCTCCATTCCCATCCTTCCTCATAGAGACAGGCAGCCATTTTTATTAGTCACTGTTACACAGTTGTTTGGCGCCCTGCAGCCTGTCAGTGTGGGAAAACTGCCTGGAATCAGAGCAGGCTGGCAGCCTGTTGCAGCATCAGCACCCTGCAGGATGACTCCAGAGCTGCTTCCCAAACTGTCATTTCTCAACAGTACTTTCAGGCTGCTTTCATGTGAAGCAAGGCAAGAGAAAAAAAAAAAGAAAACAAACCCCAGACAACTGTGACTGCTTTTTGGGATACCTCTACACAGTCTGTGGGCAGACAACAGATTTCTGTGCAGGCAGGGGGTTCTTGTTTGTGCCCGTGCCAGGAAGATGATGCCCAGGATGCCTTGCAGGGACGAGACACATCCCCTATTTGCTGTCTGTCCATGTCTCTGAGATCACTGCGACTTTGCCTCCTGGTCTTCCCCATTGTCCCACCATCTCACTGGCATTCCTGTGAGACAAGCTCCTCAACAGCGTGAAGGGCAGACCTAGGAGCCTCCTCTTCAGAACCAGCTCATCCTCCAGCCCTATCAGCAACTCAGTGATAGCCGGGGTGGGAAGGGGGAAGGAGTCCCACAGACCAACTCTGGCCAGTGCACCACCTTAGATGTGATACATGTGGATTTTATGCCTTAAATCCATCTAATAAACTGAGTTCTCTGTAATAATTTTTTTGCAGGAAACAGTGGTGCAACTATGATCCTGGTCCTACAGATTCGAACAAACCTAGAAAAACAGTCCCAGTTGTCCAGGGCAAGTGTTGGGCAACCATTTCATGCTCTGTTTGCAACAGCAAGAGGGTGCTTAAATCCTGCACGGAGCAGAGTGGAAACAGACCCAGCCTCTCCTGCCCTGTCTCTTTTACTCAGAATAAAACACTCACCTTTTTGCTATGCAGTAAACTCAGTTGTTGGGCATCCACAAGTGGCACAATCCTTAATGCTGTTTTTCTAGCATAGTCCCTTTGTCATTTGCATGCAAAATAATGCCTGATTGTTCTTGCACACTTAGAGTCAGCAGTCATTAGTGCAGCCTAGGAAAGGAAGTAAAAAAGAGCATTTTTGTGCTAATATTTTCTTAAAATGTAGCACAAATCCAGCACCAACAAACAATGTGGGGTGGAACTGTGATAGACTTCTCTTATATATCAATTATCCTGCACATGCTTGAGATTTAATGATGTTTTGGGCATCTCACATGGGGCCCATGGAGCATGGGTGCTTCTGCACTGCTCATGAGGCTCAGGGTGACAGTGTCCAAGAGACAGCTGGTCCAGGATTATTTTAGGCTGTGCTCAGTCACCAGAGATGCCCTTTGGGTGTCCAGTACATTTAGTTTCCTTCCATCCACTCAATTTGTTTTTCTGTTTAGCAGAGGGTTCTACCTAAAGTGACACCTCGCTCTGGGAAAACATGGTATTGGGAGCTAATTGATTGCTTTATAATTCTGAGCATAGAAACTTTTTTTTCTCTGTGTGTGTGTGGGAAAGAGTTGTTATTTTATCCCCATCTCAGGTAGAAAGGTCATAAGCAGGAGCTGTAATACTGCTGCATTCCAGAATGAAATGCTTCTTGATAATATTTTTATAAGCCTGTGCTGATTCTAGCATTAACCTTTTAGAGAAAGACAGATGGGGAAACCCCAAATGTCCCTGGTCAGACAAATCCAGAGCTTGCAACTCTTGGGCTGGGGAAATGGAAGGAGATGGGGGTACAGAGGTGAGGATGAAGGTCAGGGAAGCAGTCATTTTTCTCAGGGCTTTGCTGCACCCAGCTTAACCCCCACCTAGAAACCAGGCTGGGGGACAGCATGAATCAGCAGTGAATTCCTGGCGTTGGGCTCAGCCAGGTTCATGGTAGCTCACAGGGGACCCTAGGCACTCCTGCTGGACCCTGTTTTGGGGAACACCGCATCTGAGTTGGCTCACATTGGTCAGCTGGCTCCAGGCACCTGTAAGCATCCACTGTGCTGTGCTGGATAGCACAACTGCTGCCTGCCCAGCACTCAGCTAGTTTTGCACCTCCTCAGTAAATAAATTGTGATCTGTAGCATATGACCACAGTGCAGCTGCTCATACAGCAATATTGTCAGCAAATTTCAGTATCACAGGCCAGAGGGCCTGTGATACTGAAACCCCTCCCAGATATCAAGGCACCAAAACCATCAGTTTGCTGCTGAAATCCTCCAAGTGTTATGATATATGCTAGCTCAGAGGAGTACCAAAGCAAACTCTCAGTGAGTCAGCAGCTAAGTGGAATAGAGCCCTGAGCGCAAAACATGCACTGTTTTAAACAAGGCAGCGCAGGAAAACAGAACACACAACAAAGTAGTGCAACCACACTTCCACCCTGCACCAGGATTGCCGTGCTTGGTAAAGCCTGCCAGAAAAGGGGATTAAAAACCACAAGACAGTAAAAAATTCCAGCAATGAGCGAGTGTTTACCAAAGGATACATGCCACATGGGTACATGAGGTGTCACTTGCTTACCTGTGATGAGACAAATTAATTGACACCTGACCAGAAATGAAAGCAAATGAAAGCTTGTGTTACCTTTGAAAGGGATGAGCATTCCTTTTTTTTTTTTTTTTTTTTTGATATATATAACACTTTAGGTTTTTCTTTCACAGCAAAAGAATCTCTCTGGTTTGTCACAGCAGTCTGGGGTTATTTTTAACACTGCTAATGAGTGACTAAAGCAGGGTGGAGTAACTAAGCCAGCTTGCTGCTCCCAGCTACCCACAAGGTTTTTCTGACCATCAGAGGAGGACCTGGACCAGAACCAGCTCATGTGAGGAATCAGAGCAAGGCGCCTGCAAAGTGCCTGTGTCCTGGGACAGATGTGGTGGAAAAAAATGCACACCCATTCCTGCAGCTGAGTAAAAAAAGGCCTAGACTCCACACAGGGCAGGCATATACAGTGCTTGACATCAGTTTCTGAGACTAATGCATCTCAGAGATGCATTAATCTCTGACCAGAGCTCATAAAGTATGTAGCTGTCATCTCATCTGCCCATCAGAAAAAGACAGGAGAAAAGCCATCTGTGCAAGACGACACCCAATTAAATGCAAGTAGTGGTTTCTCACAGGGCCAGTAAATTCATAGAAAATCATAAAATCATTATGGCTGGAAAGACCTCCCAGATCATCAAATCCAACCATTAACCCAGCACTGTGTTCACCATTAAACCACAGCCCCGAGAGCCCCATCCACACACTTTTTCAACACTTACAGGGATGTAACACCTGGCCCCTGTCTACCCTTTGGAATGGTCTCTGCAGAGGTCCATTGGCATCCAGGGGATCAGAAGCTGTTGAAAGGGGAACATCCAGCATCCCTTCTCCCATCACCTCCGGGATTGCTGCATTCAGAGGAGGGATCAAAGATAAACTGGAAAGTACCAGATGGCAGCTGCTGGATGCAGCATCCCAGTTACCAAGTCCTTGCCAGCAAGGAGAGTACACACTAAATGGGAGTGAAGACAGTCACTGGAGCATGACAGCAGCAGGGCAGCCCAGGAACACAGCAACATCTTGGGCTGGAAAGCAAGAAACACTCCACTCCAGACAAACAATATTCTAGAGGAGACTATATGTATATCTGTATTGTTTTAATCTATACATGTATAAAAAAAAAGCCATGTAGAAAACTGATGGGAAATGTTCAAAACTCTCTTATATTAAATCATTAAAGGCAAATTGTAGTGATGGGTTAATTATGTTTATTGCAGAAGAGCAGTGAGATGCCATAAACCTCGGCACACTCTGGTGCATGGTGCTGTGGTGGTGCAAGACAAAATGCCAGAGAAGCAGAGCCTCTGTGCCACAGCCCTCTATTCCATCCTCATTCCTCTAAAAGCCAGGGAAGAGAGTAAGCACCTGTGTGCCTGGTGTGAAGCCTGCACTGGCAAGGGGTCCAGGGACCTTTGGGCTACTTAGACACATGTTCCCCTTCTCCAGGTCTGCCAGACAGCTGGACAATGAGGACACAAACCTTGCAACAATGGCTCACAGCATAATCCACGTCAAGGCAGAGCCACTGATGCCTCATGTTCTTGCAATAAGGGACACGCATTTAAAAACAAGGACATTTTTCCCCCCCACACTGTCTAACCCCACTTGTCTGATTCACCAGAACCAAGGGCTTTATAAGTCATCTTGAATATTCCCAGCCTCCCAAGGGAAACACTACATTTAAGAGCATTTAAATAGACTGTCTTTTCAGACCTTGCAGAGAAATTATATAAGCATTTTCCTTTGGAAGCGATGGAAGAGGAAGGAAAAAAAATCAATAATTTTAAGCAACAGAATTATAATTCACTAGAATTATAGCACATGCCAGTAAGAGAGAAGTACACAATACAGGTTGGAAATCGTTGCTTTGGCCACTGAGGAAGTCATATTATATTACCATGTAGCCTTAAAAATCAGGCAATTAGTGACTTGGGATAACAAAACAAAACTACTTGGAGAACTATGTGCAAATTTAAATGAGAAGAAAATGATTTTTGTAGAAATATTAAAAAGGAGTGTGTTTTTCTTTAGTGCTCATCTATAGCGAGACGGGGCATTGGTGTACCTTTTATAAGTTTAGTTAAAACAGCTCTCCTTGTGATCTCACATTGATGTAGAACATGTAACTACTGGAGCAAACTTGCAAAATTAAGAAAAATAATTCCTTTAAAAATCTCAGTTTGTAAATTAGTACCATAAACACTTGATGTTGCTAAACTCAGATTATTTATACAATTACACAAGGTGTTATAATTGAAGCTGTGGCAGCAGAGATATCTGATGTAACAGTCATAAACATTTATACCAGCTCAGGATTTGTTCTATAAAAATTACAAGCTCTGCCATCTCAAAGGTCAAATTGCCTTCAGCAACTACATAGAGTTGTCAGGAAAAGCTAATCATGCTCTATTACATTACATTAAGGCATAGCCAATGGAGAAGGAAAAAATAAACCCACAGAGCTTATTTACAAAAAGACTCTCTTACATCTGCAGAGAGGCTGGGAAAATAGAACACTCCTACCTGCAAATTTTTGCTGAATGGTATTTTAATTGCACCCAATGAGAATCAAGGTTTCCTCTCAGAGCTTCTATGAATTCACTGCTTTTCTAGAGGATGATGATACATTAGTGAGAGGGCAAAACAGAGCCTTCAGGCATAAGTGTATTATATACGTTCTGAAGAGTATCCCTAGGAATTGCAAGTATGGTCATAAATTGCAGCACTTTCGAATCATAAATAATGTGCTTTTCTGGCCTGTGGTTGTAGTCTCTTGCCAGTGGCCTAAGACTGTTTTAAACAATATGGAGATATCAAATCAAGCTAAAGAAGTTGCAGAAATTGAATTTATGCTAACTGCATCCCTGCACTTACGGGTTACCAGCTGCATTGATAAGAATTGTACTTCTTATCAGGAGGTGGTAAATTAATAAACACAGAAAGATTAAAAAGGGCAGGAGTCATTTCAAGAGGGCTACATGAAAAGCCTTAAATAGACAATATATTGCCACAACAAACATACTGCCAGGTTAATACCACAAACATTAGAAATTATTTACTGTATAGAAGAAGATTATTTTGTCATTCCCCAGATAGTAAATAGTACATGTATTCTTCCAGCTGAGAGAAAAAGCACAGGACAGCTGCAGTTCATTTCTTCTTGATTCACAGTTGCAAATAATAAAAGTTCACAGAAATAACTTTCTCTTTCAGAACAAAGTAGAAACATTCAGTTGCTAGAAGTACAAATCTCGTCTTCTCTCATGAATCTGAATGCCTGAAAGACACAGCAGCATCAGGACAGTCAAACAGTACAGTCCTTGCAATCTCTTAAGATGTTGTGCAAACGAAATTGCACCTTTGGCTTTGGTGCAAAAGAATCCTTATTAGAATAACCTCTTCAAAGTATCCACAAAACATTGCACATTAAAGAACCAACAATGGGGTATGACCAATATCAAGAGACTAATAAAATTAAGGAAGCCCAAATGCTTTGGGAATAATTTCTTAGAACAACTCACCCAGCAGTATGGGGGGTTTGTTGGTGCAAACTGCAGCAGTGCTACCACATGTGTGCTTGAGATACAAAGCTAGGGCTGTTCTATCTTTCTGGGATCTGAAACTTGGATAGCGAGTGCAAAACAGGCATTGTGAAATGGCAGCCTGAAGGTATAAGCACAAAAACTAAGGTAGATGGGATAAAACCCATGTATCTCATTTTAATAAAATGTAGTGGGTTTTTTCTTCTTTGTTAATGTAGTTATGGGAGGTGGTGGTTCTATCTGGGGGAAAAATGAGCTTTTGAAATACAAAAGCAAACAAGGAAGATCTTTAATACTACATGCATAAGCAAGGCTGCTGTATGATTTGTTCTAAACCTGCTGGTTTCTTCACTCACCTGCAGTGTCGTGGCTTACACTGGGATTTTCTGAGCCTTGGTACAACCTTGCTCTCCTCTCTTAAAAAAAAAAAAAAATAAAATTAAAAATACTGGGTATGACCAGAGATTCAGCACAGAGCTAAAAGTATACAGTAGTTAGTAAAGAAACCTTGTGCTTTTACAGCCCAGCCTATAGCACAGGTGCTGAGGAGCTCTATCTGGCACAGCAATATACACTTCCATAAATATAAATATCAGCTGTTCTTAAACATGACACAGACCAAGGAGAAGTCTATTTAACAGATAGAGACAGGAAACAAGGACTCCTACAGCTGAACTAAATGTATACGTCCTAGGGATTTTCCAGAGACTCCCTGTGAACATGGATCAGCCATTTCTTATTGATCCTTATTGGCTTGTTTGATAATCACAAGGATGGTGTTACATGTGTGGTGCTTAGAAGCTCCTGAATATTCAGAAAGGCCCTGTATACATCCTGAAAGAAACAGCTTTAATTGGTAATGGCTGGGGAATACTGAACTGTTTCATTTCCTTTTCAATTTTTTCCTCACTCATTTTCTTTCTGAATTTTGGGGAAAAAAGTCCACTGTTGTTAGCAGTACTTCCCTGTTATCAACACAAGACTAATTTAATGAAATAGCTCTTTTTCTGAAGGAGTCTCTTCCTGGGGCTCCCAAGCCCTGATAGGCTCGCATTACCCCCTTTGGGGAAGAGGGCACCTTACCTTGTTTTTAAATGAGGTCCCAGTTTAGGTAGTGTCTTTGAAGAAATTAAACCCTCATTCACTACCTACCTAAAGCCTACGGTGAGTGCCTATGGAACACATATAGAAAACCTCTGCTCATATACCATGAGCAGAAAGTTTGCATTCCAGCTGAAGATACAGACACTCTCCCTTTAACTTGAACAGACACAGATAAGCATTAGACATTCTAGCAGTGATGAGTTAGCAAAACACGTACAGTCAGGGTCCTCATAACAACATAGATCTGTTGTATCCTCAAATGAGGAACTGTAGATAAAGTCCTGCTTGTCTCTGCAGGCAGTCTTTACCTGACATTCTGGCAAATTCCTGCAGATGCAGTTTCGAAACTTGGTAACAAGGAGGTATTTCACAGCTGCTTATTTTTCAAAACCTAAGCCTCAGGATTGCTTATTCACATGCCCAATGTTTTTTTGTTTAGAAGCATCAGGAAGGACGCTCTGTATTTTTCAGAAGACTCTCTAAACAATTTCACAACCCTTTTCCTTGCAGACAAGTGTCAAGCTGCCTGACTGGGGAATGCCCAGGAAGAGCAATGCAGATGTACTCCAACAGGCATCAGCACTTTGGCCAGGAAGCCTGACCTCAGAGACCTTATCAAAGGCAGAATTACTCAGAACAGAACAATTTTATCCAGTAGATCTAGACGCTGTGGGGACATAAATGAACTTCAGGCACCTTTCTGCTGCACACTGGTAGTACCTAGGATTGGGATTCCTAGTAATTGTGGATAATAAGCAACAATCATCACCGTGTGAATTGCATTAGCTCTGGGAAATCTGCAGGGAGCTGACATAGCCTTCAGCAGGTAGGGCAATAGCATCTCATGGTAGGAAGCTCTTCGCCAGGAGACAAGGCAAGGCTGGACCACCAGACCCTGTACCCTCACCATTCCAGCTACAGACAGAGACTGGGAGGGAGAAAAACCTCTGGCCATGCTGGTAAGGGCTGCAGTTTCCCACCCTGTACTCAGAACATAATTAATAGCCTGCAAAGTAAGAGGCTGCTCAGGGATCTTTCCTGGCCACCCCGTTCTGGTCCCAATGAGGGAGCATCTGGTATACACCACACCTAATACCCATATGTATTAGAGATTAAGATAGCACTATGAATAATGCTTATAGCACTTTAAATGTCTCCCCAGTGTAAGCCAGAAGGTGAAATATTGTGTGAGTAGGCACATTTTTTTTGCACATTTTTTGATTAACCCATCCTATATGGATAATTGATACCAAGTACCACAGTACATATCAGGGTTATCTACTGTAAAAGATTTCTGTGAGTTTGCCAGAAGTTGGATCCAGCTTGAAAAGCTTAAGAACAGATGGCATTATTCTATCACTTTACATCAGATGTCACCAAAGAATAAAGTGATAGTATTTTCTTACCTCCCCCAGGAGATGAACTTTGACTCATATTTTGTAATCTCGCAGGTCCAGTCATACAAGCAGAACTTGAGTGTTGCTTCATGGTGCATTCTTGCATGGATGTTAAGCACCTTTCCTGTTGCAGAAGGCCAAGGAGAGAACTGTATTTCCTGTCAGAGATCAGCTCATCGGCTGTATGCAGGTCAGGGAGGGTGTGAGGATACACTGAACTGGTGACACTGGGAGTCCCAGCTGGAGGGAAGGACCATAAGTCTGCAGGTTGAGCTGGACGACTCCGCAGAGACGATGGCTGGCACTGGCCTACCACTCCAGCAGCAGAAAAATTCAGAGCAGAATTTGCCATGCTTGTTGAAGAAGGTGATGGATATGGTTTGTAGCAATGCGAAGAGAAATTCCACTGATGGGGAGACAGGCTGTCTACTTAAAAAGAGAAAAAAGGCGTCTGAAGTCTCACCAATTTTTACTTTTTTGCCAAGCCAAATACCAGTGGACTTCTAAGAGAATGCTACCAGATTGCATATTCATTTTTACAGAAATACAAAATCACTTTAGTGCTGCTTATCTTAAAAATCAACCACAAATTCATAATAAAAGCAGATTAAACCACCGCCAATATTTCTACGAAGTATTTCTACTGTAGTATGTGTACTACATAACCACCAACTTAGGCAGGCTTTTGACAGCTGCAAGCTTAGACAAATATATTTTTGTGAAGATGATAATTTAAGTCATAATGCACTTATTGTATCCAGCAGTGATGGGGATGCTTGGCTGGGAAATGATGACCTAGTCCTGTCAACAGGTCCATGGAAAGCTTAGGAATCACTCCAGCAGTCACAGGGATTTACCCAGGAATTCCCAGCTACATAGCCTAGGGCTTTATAAGTATGATTCTCTTGCTTTCTATTTGCAAACAATTTCAAATTTAAGCTCGTGGGATCTTAAATTCTTTAGTAAAAGCCAGTCACCCTCATCCAACACCAGGCTCACATATGGAAAGGAGCTCACCGTTTTTCAGGATGACAGTCTCACCCTTATGCTTTGTGCTCAGGTCTTGGGGGTTCTTGGCATTGCTGAGAGCTCTAGAAAAATGTTCATCTACCATGCTGTTAATGTCCCCTTGGAAATATGTGAACACCACGCTCTGAGATCCCCATTCTGTTCTCACAGGCTCTTTGCTTTTACTCAGCTTTGGGGAAATCTTCCTTGTTTCTTCCATTTTCAATGATCAACAGTCTCTGACAAAAACAAACAAACAAAACCAAAAAACACAAACAAACAAAAAAACACACACACACAAAAAAAAAAAAAAACCACAACAAAAAACACCACCCAAAAAAGCAAACCAAAAAAAATTAAAAAAAAAACCAACCACAGAAAAACCAGACAAGTCAAAGAGGCAATATTCAACTTCAAGTGCCTAGTGAGTGGTGAGCCCAGCTTCCTCCAAAAAATGGTAGGGGCCAGAAGAACACTTATTAGTAGGAATAGATTCTCTGTTTTTTTGATTTTTCCATGCACCTCTTCTTTACTGATTGCCTTATTAGATACTTCTAAAATGAAATACTTGGACAGAATGGGCACATCTACCCACCAGCTTTCATTTCTCACCCTGACTTTTTAAGTCTGGGCTTTGGATGTAGTACTGTGTGAATGTGTCCTCTGGAAGAACTGAAATACTTTTAAAATAATTCAGAGGTGGCACTATCCCTGAATAAATTTCAGGGTTAACGCATCAAAATGCTTTGTCCAATTTTTTTGTATTTTGTATTGTTCAAAAAACAATGACAGAGTGAAAAAAAAAAAAATAAAACAAGAGCAAAAAAACCCCCAAAACTCATTATACTACATTAGAGCTGAAAATAATAGTTTTATATAAGGTAAATTCTGAAGTACCTTAATCACTGTCAGCACAGTTCTCCTAAACAAAAAGACTTCTAAGAATAATTAGTTGCTTCACCTATTGGAAAAAGACATTCAGATTAAATTATTGGAAACTCAAATGATGGCAAATTCAAGTAAAAAAACCACCACAAAACAACAAAAGAAATAACCTTTTTTTGTTTGAAACAACTTACCTAGGAACATGGTGGTTCTGCCAGCTGCTTAAAACTTTGAAGCAAGACTGCTAAAACACACACTGTGGGTTGACCAGAACTTACAGGTATATGGCAGGAACTACACTAAAATAGTTTGCAGGAAGTCAGCAGAAGACTATAAGACTCTTTTTTGTTCTCTTTAAAAATCTCTGCTGCCACGTATGGTAAGAGTAGGACAAGGAATGTCCCTGCTTGCCCTGGAGAAGCCTAATTTTAATGCATTTGTACAGTTTCTGGCCACAAGTGAGTAAGTTCCCAGCCAGAGCTCACAAGCCCTGCTCTAATCAAAATCATATTTAGGCTACAAATGCAGTGAAGTGCCTGCTCTTTCTATTCAACTTTCCAGGCTCATTGTCAGCTCACAAAACTGCATAGTATAATTGATTTACCTTGGTAGCGAAGGTAAATCAGAGATCAGGGCAACCTTTGGCCAATAGCCAGCAGTACCACATAAAACCTCATGAATCATTAGATGTGTGTTTCCATCAAACTCACTCTGCCATACACACCACTGCTTAACCCAGTTCAATACATTCATCTGATTTCGTTCCTAGTCATACATCCCCTAATCCTCAGAAGCTTCCCAATAAACACTGCACTCATCTGTGTCTCAAAGGACACCCTGAAGTGCCTGTGAAGTCTGCCTTCAAATGATTTCTCAGAATTTTCTTGCACATGAAAAAAACTGCTCAGGCTGCAAGACAAGTATTCAGAAAGTATTAGGAAACATGACGATTAAGGTTGTCAAGCCATAATCCATCCCCATTCTAATGTTTAAGCCTTCACTTAAAACCTTATTGTCCATGTTTATTATTTGCTTCCATATTTAGTTTTGCTTGTTTGCCTCCATCTCCCACCACTTTGTGCTCTGTTCAGTTCTCCCTGACTCACGGTCCCTTGCTCAGCCAGCCCTAATCTCCTGTCACCAATGCTAACTCATGGCCAAATTCAGGAGCTCTTTAGTGCTAATTTTAGAATTTCTATTGCTTTGCCCCATTCTCATAGATTCACCGAAACACAGCAGTGGGAGCACGACTGCAGAGTCACACTCTGATTCAGAAGACAATCTTTCACAATTTTAAAACTGACCCAGCTTTCCCAGACATAGAAAACTTAAACACTTCCTCCCAATTTACAGGCACCTTTCCAAGGTCCATGAGGGGAAGCAGGAACTAGCACAACCCAGCCACACAACTGGAAGTACTTTGAGCACAGAGAGAGACGCTGGTTTTTCTGTCTTGTTTTAGAAAGCATGCTGTGATCTGGGTTAGGGAACTTTATGATTGCTCAACTGGGGGCCAACACTTGTCATCGAAAATTCCAATCCAAGAAGTGAAAGCTTGGCAAAGACATAAGCAACCAAATGGCCTGAGAAAGGACAAGAAGTCATCTTGACAGCAAGAAGCAAAGCAGCTTTTCCTACTCTGTGCCAGCACTACACATCAACATACAATTTAGGAAGCATTAGCACTGTCCCAGAGGATCAGTTTTCCCATTCTTCACTCGGTACAAGCCATTACATCTTTGTACCACTTTATTAACATGCTTAACTAGCTCCTGACATTAATTCTGGGCTCCTTTAGCATCCTTTATTTGTGTGCAGCAGCTTGTGTGACTGTGACCAGTTATAATGTTGGAAAGATAATTTTAAAGATAAATTTTAAAGATATTTTAAAATAATTTTAAAGATATTTTAAAGAAAAAAAAGGTCATTTATCTCTTTTCTTCCAGTGTTTCCCTTAAAAATCTCTTGCGATTTCCAACAAGTAGGCAGAGGAAGGCTGGGTATAATCTAGGTTACATCTCAGTCCTCTCACTGATCATATGGGCATAAGGATTCTAATGTCCCAGGACATGGGACCTGAATTTGCAGCACTGTAGTCTTCATTACCTGAACTTCCTATTATTTCATCACCCAGCACAAGGTCTGCAAAAGGCAGAAATCCTTCCAACTTGTGTCTGACACAAACCACTGTCAGAAGTAGAGCTCAGGATTAAATGGATTCAGCTCATATCTCACTACACTTAGAATAGGTTAATAAGGGCAAAATAATGCAAGTATTTGTCCAAGTTATTTCTCCTTCAAGTGGACAAGGACCCATGGTCAACACAGGTTTAAGAGTTGTGGCTTTTGACAGCTCACCACAAGACCTAATACTTTACAGTATTTTTCACATTCCCCACACTTGCCAGCATATCAATTTACCAGCACTGGAGCATTCAGCAGGGAACTCTTCATTCTTGATTTCATGTTGCTCAAACCAGTTTGAAAAACAAAAATCTCTCACTTCCCAAGTATTAAACCACAATTCAACAAGCAGGCATTCCTTCTCATCAAGTTATTCGTCAAGTAAGGGAACATTTGAGGAAGTCAGTGAATTCTCCTACCTTAACTCACTGTCAGTAGCAGTGTCACACCAGTCAGATTTTTCAGATGTGGGACACTCATACTGTGCCCAGCAGGTCGGGATCCTTACTGGGTCTGGCCAGCTCTGTGTGCACTGCAGTGACTGCAGCAAAAGACAAGCCACGTTCAACTCCCCACACTTTCTAGCCTCCAGCTGCGCAGAACGAGGCGTTTCCTTCAGCCTATCTGCTAAGAATGCATGAAATGCACTCCAACGAGTCAACCAGGTTAGGAGGTTTCAGGAATGAGGAAAATAGGACTGTAAATAGGTTTAGGTTTGTTTGGGGTTTTTTTATGACAATGTATACACAATAAAGAAGATACTGTGGACTTTGGAAAAGTTTGGAGTAAGATGATAAACAAGATATGTCAGTGAACCAAACTTGCACATGATGATAAAGGATTTTTCCTATGTTACAGAAAATTCACTCTTAAATTAGTAACAACAAACACCTATGAGGAAAAACACCTGTTTCCAACCCAGATAAACTGGATAATCAATTTTCTTTCTTTGCTAGATCTGTTTTAATAACTACAGGGGAAAAAAAACCAAAATCATTCTTGTTCTGTAAGGGCTGTAGCAGGAAAGAGTTTGGGTGATTTTTTTGTAGCAAGTTGACCAAAATTGGCAAACTGCAGCCATTCCAGAAAAGCTAAAACAGGGTCAAACTTGCCAGTCTCACCTGGAAAAAACACACTGGGGAACTAGTCACCAAACTGGTGACATTATGTCTTTTATAGAGTAGCTTAGGAGTTTGTTTATTCACCCAGAAAGCTGGAGAGCACAATCCAATTCCCTCTGCCTAAATACGTATGAATCCGCCCTCTGCCCTTCCCAGAACAACTTAACTACCAGGCTGGGAGAGTTCCCGTGACGGTGCTTAGTCTTTTATTGACACATTGTTTGCGTAAACACATTTTCATTGTGAGACAGACTGATTCCAGTCCACCAGCAGGGCAAGAGTCTTCAACATCCCCACTGCTCTTTCTGACTCCCTTTTCTAAACTGTCTCATACAGCAGATATTGCCTCTGGTAAAGGTTTTCAAGACCTTATTTGAGATACTCCTCTCATGCTGACAGTTAAAGCTCTCCTCAGCTTAAGATGGCATCAGTTTAAAACTCCTAGAAAGGACTACAGGGTAAAATGGGATTTCAATCCCTATTCTTCAGTACAGGAATTGAATGACTGATTTCCAGTGCTTTTGAAGCACTCAAAGTATCAAAATTTTGAAGAAAGAAAATTTAAAAAAACTTTTGAGAATAAAAATTTAAATTCTACTTGTCTATATTAAAAACATCTTCACAATCTCAATTTTAACTATGGTGTCTGCAGTGGTCCCTCCTGCTCCTTTTCTCTCCATGCAGGTCCATCAACATCCGAAGCCAGGAAGAAGGATGAGGCCAAATCCAAAAATAGGGAACAAATACCATGCTCCCACTTACAGTTCCAGCAACATGTCTACTGGGTCCAGCTGGAAGCTCTGGCATGTTAACACATGTGGTTTATAAACTGAAGCCCCTGTGCACCAAATGCTATGGTATCTTTTACTGAGGAAAAAAAGACAAACATTACCTTGAAACTGATCAGCAGAGACTTGCTCTGTTCATGAGTTTGTTTATTAAAAAGGTAGTATAAAACACAACCCCTTTAAGAAACAAATTGAAGACAAACAAAGGGTATTCTCAGATGCTGTCACAAGTCTAGACATTATTCAAATAGCATTTGCTTTGTAATGTTGCTTTTCTAAAAGATAAATGAAAATTATTAATTTATTTAAAGAAAATCACCTGTCAGAAAAAAATTCCAAGTCTACTTACTGAAAAGTTTAATCTAACAATATACTTTTCGTATTACAGAATGAGCAAAAAACCAGTTTGCTGCAAAAAATTTTATAATTCTATAAATATTTTACAGAACTTTCAGAGTATTCTGACAGTAAGATGTCAAGCTATAATGAGCACTACAATACAAGCAAGTCAAATCAACACAAATACACAACTCACAGAATTCATTTACCATACTGCAATATGTTTTCTCAAATGCAGAAATAAAAATAAGAATTTAAAATCCAACAAAAATCTACAAAAATGTATTTTTTTTCCAAATTTGGTTTGGTTTAGTTTCAAGAATTCTAGGTATGAATATTGATGAATGACAAGTTTGGGTTTCTATGAAGCATCCAACACCTTCAAGTTTTCTTAAGTGAATTAAGCTAATTATTTTTAACTGTTAATCGGTTAAGGTTAACTGAATAATGTGTAGGACATGTTTTAGCTAAAATGCACTGCATTTAACATACTAAAGATTTTAAGTGGATTGCAATCCTTAAACAAATCCTAAGCTGTACGAGGGACTGAAATTCAATTTAAAAAACTTTAAAAAGCCAGCAGGAGAAACAGATAGAATTAGTTTCATTTTACATCAAAATGTTTTTCTTCACAACAGTATACAAACATTTGAGAACCCACAAAAAAAGAGAAAACCTTCCAAAAAGCCTTTTATTTTGAGACTTTTTGTCTCCAGGTGTCCACCTTGGCCATGCTCCTCCAGCCACGTCATGTCTGGCGGATACCTGTAACTCCATAAAAACTCCTTCCCAGCAAATCACTGAACAGCATTTGATTCTAAAGCAAACTACCAATTTATCCCGAAGCTAAGCCATTATTTTGGATGGTTCAGAAAGCGATTCTGCCAAATTATGCTGAAGGATTGGTTAATAACCTGTCATATTGTATTTAAGTGGCTTTACATCCATTTTATTACACTGAAAATTGGTAGAAATAACTATTTCTCTAGTTCAAAACTCAAAAATAATTATCCACAAATTGTTTCAGCCTGCTGCTAGTTATTGCTTTCATCATAAAGAAAGGAAAGGAGATAGATTATCTTAAAATGAACCTCTCACCAAAAGCACAGGGATGGAGGAACATGCAGTATACTTGAACAATGAAATGGGACTTAAAAAAACCCTAGAAACCTAGCAAAAAGGTTGTTTTTTCACTTCTAATGAGCAAGGAAAGTAATTAGAAAACACTTTTCATTAAAAAAAAATCAAGTGATAATTCCTTTAGGGTTTTAATTTCTTACCAATTTATGTATGATGTTGATCACTAAGAAAAATATGTAAGTTTAAAAAGCAACTTTGCTTGTTCAGATTTGTTAAAATGTCTCATTAAACATTACTGCTCTATACTATAAGAATTTAATAATCATACTTCAAAATAGCAATTTTAACTTCTGTGAAAATTTTTGATTTCTGTTCAGATTTATACCAGTTTCATAAATTCAAAATAACTTCATAAATAATTTCAAAAAGGAAAATATTTAAAGAATTTGGTTGTAATGAAAATCTGCTGAAAAGAGTCACAGCTGCATTAACCTCTCCTTGGACTACTAAATGCCTCAATAACTCAATGAATCATTTATAAAAATATATTTTTACATTCTACCGGGGAAAATGGAGGTAGACAAAAGGAAAATACAAGTTTCAGTAAAATTCCACACTTGAGAACAACACATTTGCATGGAAAGAGCTTTTATTACTTAAGAATCCTAGTTAATAGGAAAGCCAGTCAAGCATTTGGTCTCAGTCTTTTTTGGTACTCTACTTTCTAAAGAAAGTGAAAGGACTAAGAGCACATTTAACTTCTGCACCAAGCCAGTCAAATTTGCACATCAATTGGAGAGAGGAAAGTTTACTGCACATACAGCAATTCCTTATTTTTCAAAGTCTTATTTCAAACACTAACCTTGTTCTCCATATCTGATACCATGATAAGACTTCATAGAACTTTACAAGTTTTACACATATTTCCACAAGTTTCCCTATATCAGTTGTAATTCCTCTGTAAAACAGCTGATTTAACTGTGTAGTGTTACACAACTGGGCTCCCTTAAAAAAAAAAAAAAGCAAACAAAACACAAGAGTAAGAGGTCTACAGCCTAGAGTCTAGAAGCTGGAAGAAAGAAAGGAGCACTGAAAGCAATACTCACCACACTACACTCTTCATATGCAAACACGTCCAGCTCTCAAAAGTCTGTGGTGCTTCTTACCAATAAAAATAACTAAGGCAGAACCAACACAACCCAGAAATGTGTCTGAATACACCACTACATGCAGCTACTAACCAGGCAGTGTTCCAGATTCCCTGAATTCTTCAAACACCTGCTTTACTGAAACACACAATCCACACACTTGGAAAGATGAGAAAATTGACTTGTTTTAGCTGGCAAGAGCTACATCTCTTCTTTATAATGCAACTCAAAATGGGAAATTTGTCGTATCAGGGTATTATGAGCCTCCAGACTTTTGACCCCTGAATTCAATTATGACAGCTATTTTTGTCACAAAAGAAGTAATTTATAACCACAATGGCAAGGGTTAACTTAGATGCTCTTGCTGGCATAGCCACCCACACATATTGACTATATATTAACAAAAAAAAAAAACCACCAAAATAAACTTAGACAACCATATAGAATTCAGGAAAAAAATCTGTATGGCAATCTCAGAGTACATGGTTTGAAAATAACATTTTTAGAGTATTCTGATGACCTCATGATGGAAACACAGCATCTATAGTTTCTTGCAATCCAATATGAATTAAAAAAATTAAAAGGATCCTCCTTGCAAATATGTAATGGTAACTGTCCATATAAAGAGCATGCTATGAATTTTTAATTGTTTAGTGCTTAAATCCATGTTCTTCTATCCTCACTTATCAGCACAGTGGAATTCTAAATTAAGAATGACTATGCGCAAAACAGTTCCCCCCAGGTACTTTTGAAAGCCTGCCACTTATTAAGATATCATAAGTTATAATATCTTCTAAGTCCTTGCTTTTGGAATTATTTTGAAGAGGCTAGCATTTGCTTTTTCCATATAAGAGCATTATTTGAAAGCATATTTTAAAGTATTCAACTTTTGCACAACAAACTGCAGTTTGAGCTGCCAAAAGCATTTAATTTTTATGAAATATGGAAGATCCTCCCCACTGTGAAGAGCACACAGAGCTAAACAAAAATGTTGAGAATTCACACTCATCATGCTAACAAAGTTAACAAAAAACCCTTACTCTAATATAAAAGCAAGAATTAATAAAGCCACCAAAAAAATCAAAAGCCTATTTTCATACCTACAGCATACAGACTATGAGAGTGTAAAACCAATGTTATTGTGGCCTAGAATACGTGTGTTCATGCACTTCTAGTCTCCTTGAGATAATTCCAGCCCCTATCAAACATCAACAGAAGGGGAAGGAAAACTCCATTTGCTGAATGCTGCGATTTAATAACCTCTCTTCACTTAGTTTGCCTTAGGGTTGCTACAGCAACACTGTCTGCCACTTTCTTTAAGCTTGTGAGCTGATACTACTCATCAGGCACCTAATATATAGCAACACATCCAATGCATTCACCCTATCTGGATCACAGCACAAGTTCCATAAAATGATCCAACATACCAGGACACAAATTACTGAAGTACTGAGTTCCAAGGGAACTTACCAGGAAAATTAACAGTACAATCCACAAATCTTGTAAAAGCTTTGCATTACATAAGTTACATATAGGTACGTAAACTTAAGGGTTGGAACATACTTCACACTCACATCATGAAACACTGACAAGCATAGTTAGAACAAAAGAAGCCTGACAAGTTTTACTGTGTTCTTGAAAACTTGAGTTACTTCACCTGAACAGCCAATTAATACAAACTTTTAGAACCCCATTAAATACTGCTTTTAATGAAAACTTCAAGCCACACAGCTGATGACATTCTAATACACCTACATTTGTATGAATATTGACTGCAGTCACTCTGAAGAAAGGGATGCACTCAAACATCACCCTAAAAATCATGCTTTCATAAAGCATTAAAGATGTTATGTATCAGTTTCACCATCACTGCCTGCAAGGCTGCTGTCTGTGGATGGAGCTCCATTTTCATCAATACCCTCACCATTATTCTCTCTCTTATGAGTTTCATCATTTGCATCCTCCTTAGGTGTGTCATTAACCTCTGGAGGTTGTTTCCCTTCGGGCAGTTTAACACTACTTGATGCAGAATCCGAATCAGATGTAGTTTGCTGCTCCTTTGCATCAGGATCCCCTAAAAATGACTCCCACACCTTGAGCCTTTCTTCCCTTTCTCTTGCAGTCTCCTCCACCTGTTAAAGAGGTGTTTATACACGTCATTAAAGTCATACTTGTCAAAATGAGTATTTACACAGATGAAATTAAACAAATATTAGTATTACAGAAATCTCAATGCTGACTGTGAACTAATGATCCGTATATCCAGCAGCTAATCCTCTAAGTTGACACTTTCAGTACTCTAACAGGTAGGTCCTCTAATTTTTTTTCTAAGTTGAATGATTTTTAGAGACATTCTACAGATTTTGAAGAGAAGTAAGATAACACAGGCATGGGCAGGGGATGGAATGCCAAG